GGGAGAACATTCTAGTTGGTAAGTTTCTTACCTTTCAAAATGTGCTTGGCACCTGCCTTAAATAGCACAAACATATTGTGCACATCTTTAAATCATTTTAACTGACAGAAAAGAATTACATTTTAAACTCAAATTGAAGCCTTTTACAAAAATTATCCAGGCTCTTTTTTGTAAAGCTTATAAAAGTGAATTAAATATAATTAGCAAAAAGAGACACTGAATTAATAACATTTTTTAGTAATAAAACAATATATTTTGATCTTTCTTCCAAGAACTTAGATTTTCTCCATATGAGTTATAATTTAATCTCCTTAGTTTTGAACTGTATTAATGTGTACACTGAACGCTCTAAATTGAAGCCATCATTCTCAGTTAAATAACACTACTATGACAGTACTCAACCTAAATTTTAAAAATTAGCATTTTTTTCTTGGTAAATAAACTATAACTTTGTCAGAAATTACTGCCTGAATGTGTATTCATGTATTAGCTGCATTTTTTAAGGTAAAGTTGCTATGGTATTTAATGTATGGATAGAAAGTGAGAATAAGTGAAGAAGTGGCAGATTAGTTAGAATTTAGAATTAGGTTAGCTTTGAAAAATGATGTTGTCATATATGGGTTCTAGCACATCCCACCATAAAAACTCTTCTGGAGGAGATCAGATAGCTGTAACCTGGTTAATTTCGGATAATGGATATTTTGGACTAATATGGAGAACATCAATACATTTTAGGACTAGTAGACATGTGGCATATGGATTGGTGGGAAAAACAAAAACCTAAACTTTACAGTTTATAATCCATAAACCATTTTATAATGTTCAAAGATAAGATTCCGTTATTGATAATATTAAATGCAGTTACCGTGAACATTGATGGGTCAAAACATTTTACTGGATTATGGAATGTTAACCCAGAACTTGTTTTGATTCTTGGATGTACATAATAATGCTAACTAACTTTCTTGTTTACTTTCTTGTTTACATGTGGGGGGTTTTGTTTTTAAAATTATTTTGTTAAAAAAAAAATCCCAATAAAGGTTTATTGCTGTTATGCTTTTTTTTTCCTTTAACTCTATTTTTGGTTTCTGCTAAAGTTAAAAGTTTTATGCATATCTGGTAATTTTTCAAAAGACTGATTTTTATTACTTTCTTGGAAGGAAAAATTAGATAACTCTGCTACTTACATTTTAGCAATAATTATCTTTTTAAGAATTAGCAGCTGATACAAGACTGATGTTTGTGAATGGAGTAAGTCTAAGAATTGATGGTTTTACATGACATTTATCTGACAGTTTCTTTCCTAGAACTTCCAGGGGATAACCATTTTTAAACAGATAGATAGGTCTTAGAGCTTATTTTTTAAATTTCAGTCAAAAATGGATGCCACAGAAGACTTTGGGATCCAAAGGAAAAAGTAGAGTCATTCTGATTTGGCTACATTTATAAAATGCTCTAGTGGCAGTTTTCACGAACAGTCACTATAAATTTGTAATGTTACACTATCCTTTGCTAAAAATAAAATTTCCTTTTAGACCCTTAAGATTAGGAAACAAGGATTCTTACACACTGAGTTTAATGAAAATACTGATTTTTTTTTTTAAACTTGATTTCCCTGATTTCCTACTTTTGGCAAAAGGATTTCTTTAACAGCTGTAGTCAAACAAAAGTTTGCCAGTAGAAAGAGCAGAGGAGTATAGCAATTTCTCTGTTACTGAATGGGATGCAGCCCTATGTCCTAATCTATTACTGGATGTAAAAGTCATGGATGGAGGAGATTGCTGAGTCTCAGAGAAGTAGAATGTGGTACAAAAATGTCAATACGCAACTTAGAAAACATAAAATGACCATCTGTCACATGACTGTGTTGCACAGACTGTACTCTGTGCTCTGAGAGGAGCACCTGGTCGTGGCAGGGATAGTGGAAATGGGCTCAGGAAATTAACACAATATTGAAAATCAACTATACTTCAATAAAATAAATTTAAAATTTTTTTTTAAAAGATAAGTGACCTTGTAGACCAGAGTGGGGAATCTAGTAGCCTGTGAGCTTTATGTTATTTGACCTGCACAGTGATGTGTATTTTATTCTTTGTAATGAATGCCTTTAGGAGAAGCCTGCCCTTGCCCCTTGGCCACATGTGCATTCCTTACTAGCCCAGTAGCGACACTTCTAGCCTGATCCCAGTGGGCCCAATTTAAACATGTACCCCTATTTCAGACACTCCCATGTTAAAATAGTGTATGTGCAGATCTGAAAAGAGACCTGTGATGACTTTCTCCTTTGATGCCATTACTCTACATGAATAGGGTTTTGCAGCTACAAAAAAATAGATCTTTTCCAATTTCCTTTCTGTAGAAGCTGAGTCCCATAAAGGTATTTAAGACCATTCCTGTAACTTAGTTCCTACACACACACACACACACACACACACACACACACACACACACACACACACACACACACACACACACACACACACACACACACACACACACACACACACACACACACACACACACACACACACACACACACACACACACACACACACACCCTCTGTCCCCAAACACTGAAAGGAACTCTACTGAATTCCTGAAGATTTATTCCCAAATGTATGAACATGTAGATACTGCACAGCAAATCACATTTGTCATTTGTTTAATTGCAGTTTAGGATTCTAAATAACATTAACCATTTTCTATTTTTTAAAAAGGCCAGTATCTGTTAAAATTCTATCAATATAGTTAGAAAATATAGGCTCAAAACTCATTTATACAAATGAGTTAATAGCAAATACCAGTGCATTTACAACCAATGAATAGCTAAATAACTAAGGAATTGCTATTTCAATATTAAGTATTGATTCAAAATATTTTTAGGGAGGAAAATTGGTTTCCAATGCTAATTGTATCTAAAGTTGCAAAGAATGACCTTCAAAATGAATGTCTGATAATATGATCTAAACATACATCTGTAATGATGAGTAAGCATGTATACATGCTTTTTGCTATATAATGTCAGATAAAACATTCCCAGCAGTTTCATATTTTAAGTGCAAAATGTCTGGGTTTTAAGTGCAAAAACTATTCTAGATTTATACTGCATCACATTTGCTTCTATTTGAAAGTTTCAAAGGCATGCATATATGTATTTTTAGGTGTGTATATATGTATGTACATTTTGCCCTGCCTTTTGCAAACTAAAGAATCACTCCCCCAGCTAATGTATGCTTTAAGCAGGTGAATTATCAAGAGAAAGTACTTGTAAATCCACATAGCTGAATAATTTGGAATTTACTCTCAAATAAGAAAAACCTTTATATATGTATAGTAAATATATATATATAATATATTAAATATACAGTTATATATATTATTTAACACCTCCTGGGTGCTAGGTGTGTGCTTAAGCATGGATGATCAGGCCACTGAAAACTATTTCTTTTTAATTATTGGGGTATGGTTGTTTTACAATGTTGTGTTAGTGTCTACCATACAGCGACATGAAGTAGAGTTCCCTGTGCTATACAGCAGGTTCTCCTTAGTTATCTATACATATCTGTATATATGTCAATCCCATGAAAACTAATTTTTTTTGTTGTTCATGATATATCAAAGTTTCTAGCCATCCGGTTAATGCTGATTATATGTGCACAAACATAATCTACATAGATTATGACCTGTAGAATGCTTGGTCTTTATTAATATTATAAAAAGCAAGAGACAGGACAGTATAGTTTATTTAGTAAGCATTCTAAATAAAAAAAATTTAGTCTAATTGTTCCATAAAATAAGTTAGATAAACATTGCCAGCAGATTGACATTCAAAATGCAAAACAAAGTCATTATTTGATAGTGCTATCACATTACAGTCTACTTCTGCCTACAAGTTTTAAAGAAATGCATTCTATTTTTAAATTGAAGTATAGTTGATTTACATTATTATGTTAATTTCAGGTGTACAACATAGCGATTCAATATTTTTACAGATTATACTCCATTTAAAATTATTATAAAATAGTGGCTATATACCCTGTGCCGTACAGTGCACATTCTTATAAATTAAATAAATATGTCCCTCAAGGTACAACTCTCTGAATTGAAAAGCTCAATATAGTAAACTTTTTTTATTAATAATAAATCATATTCTAACCAATTACATAAAAAATGATCATCTTTTCTGATAGGACCCCAGATGATTTTCTAGGTTGTGAGATTTCAAAAATAAGTTATGTTATTAAATTAGACTCCATTCAAGTTTGTAGCCATTGTTAAGGGCATACCCCTTTGTTCATTTAACAAAGACTGCATGCCTCTTGTGAGCACAGGCTTTCCCAGACACTGGAGAAACAACAGCAAACAAGCCAGCCATCTTCCTTGCACTTTTACAGCTTACAGAAATAGCAGTGTGGGGCTCAAGAATCAATAAAGCATGTTTTCTAAAGCTAAACATCAAAAAAGCTAATGTCTGGGAAGAATAAAAAGAACATAACAATATTTCTACGAATTTCTTTTGAAACACTTCTTTGGGCTCTATGCCCTAAATGTTAACTTCAATGGTGTCACTTCTAAGATTTATTCCTAAATGCAAGAATAAAATGTGGTTCTTAAGTGCAAAACTTTTAGTTCAGGACTTCCCTAGTGGCGCAGTGGTTAATCCGCCTGCCAACGCAGGGGACACGGGTTCGAGCCCTGGTCCGGGAAGATCCCACATGCCGCGGAGCAACTAAACCCGTGCGCCACAACTACTGAGCCGGTGCTCTACAGTCCGCGAGCCACAACTACTGAGCCCATGTGCCACAACTACTGAAGCCTGTGCATCTAGAGCCCGTGCTCTGCAACAAGTGAAACCACTGCAACGAGAAGCCCGTGCATCACAACAAGAATAGCCCCCACTCACCGTAACAGGAGAAAGCCCGCACACAGCAACAAAGACCCAATGCAGCCAAAAATAAATAAATAATAAAATAAATTAAAAAAAAAATTTAGTTCAAACAAACTATTAGAGCTGATGGTAAGCAGGACATCAGTTAAGGAATTTTCTAATTGGATCTTCTCTGGTGATACTCTTTATGTGACATTACTGACTAAAACATTAAAAAGCAAATACACAGCCTTTGGAAAAGGAAACTTTAAACTAAAAGACCACTCCCCCGTGTGTGTGTGTGTGTGTGTGTGTGTATAAAGAGAGAGGGAGAGATATATTGAGAGAGAGAATCACTGTTTTATTCCTATTAGTCTCTGGCTTAAAAAGTACAACGTGGCTTCTGAGAATAATTCATCAATATAATTTAAATTGTATTTATTTTTAAAGTAGAAAAGAAAAGCTTCTGCAAAAGTTACTGATAGGATTTTTTTGAAGCTAACCAAAAAAGGAATTTGTATTTTGGCTGGAGAAGAGAAAGGAATGAAAAATAGAAAAACTGGCTATTACACAATAGGAAATCTTATCTGCATTCAAGATGCTCCTTAGAAATAGTAAATAAACTCTGATTCAGACTTGTTTTCACCCGTTTTTCTCTCTGCCTTCGGTTGCAAAACCAAACCCTCACTACTTCTTTCTCCAGGTTCAGTTCTTCAGCCATCCGCAAGATCTCTTGAGAGGAAGGTTTATTCTGTTCTCCAAAATGTCTCTCCAGAGCGTCTTTAGCAGCAATACTGGGAGGTGGGGAGTTGACAGGAGAGAAAAGGAGATAGGATATTTTTAGGGATGTTTTTGGCAGATCAAAATTGTTAGGTTGAATTTCCTAAATATTAACATAAAAAGGAAATTTAAAGACTCCGAAAACACCTTCAAAGCTCTTCAACAAAGATAAATGTGCAGTTTGTTGAACATTTGGATGCTTGCTAGTCTTACGTAGGCTACCTATACCAGAGTCACAGGAAGAAGTAGGGGAACTCAGACATTGTGTTTATCCCACTTTGTGCCACAAGAGGGCACTGACTTACTGAGAAGGAAATAATTCTGTAGGCATTTCTAAATGTCCCCCAGAAATCATTTATTTACAATAAATGAAATGTTTTGTGTACAACTAACCCACTAAAACAAAAACTGTATTTTAGCAATTCCTCTGTGAGCCTCATGGAAATTACAAAAAGATCAATGAACAATCTGGCTTGAAATGCAAGGAGTTACCTTGAACTTTAAGCAGCCTAAATACTGATGACTAGTTTTGTTATTTGTAATAACATAGATACCATACTGCCAGAGCAAGACTTATGTCACCAGGGAACAATAGAGGGCTTCCCTGGTGGTGCAGTGGTTGAGAGTCTGCCTGCCGATGCAGGGCACACGGGTTCGTGCCCCGGTCCGGGAAGATCCCACATGCCGTGGAGCGGCTGGGCCCGTGAGCCATGGCCGCTGAGCCTGCGCGTCCAGAGCCTGTGCTCCGCAACGGGAGAGGCCACAGCAGTGAGAGGCCCGCGTACCGCAAAAAATAAAATAAAATTGACAATAGAAACGGTCACTCTATTTAGAAGTGATTGTCCAGTTTCTGTTTTATCCAAAACTTGCATAGTAAAACTGTTCTTGAATCAAACAATACATATTTTTCCATCAAATTTTAAATTTCCAGCTATATCTCACCAGTAATTTATTAAATGTTATGCTTTTTCACCTATCTTATTTTCTCAATTGACTCTATTCATTTTTATGTTATATTGAATCTATATTATGCTTAAATGCTCATTCCATTTGTAAAATATCTTTTTCTTCTCCAGTAACTCTTAATATCTCAAAAGTATACCTGATAGTTGTTCTCCGTTTCCTTTTTCTTTCATTTGCACCCACTTTCTCATTGTATAAAGCTGTGATGGGGAAAAGATGAATAATTACAAAAACAAAGTAAGTCTTTTTATTTTAACTATCAGATTTGGATTCAAAATTTTCTTTATAAAACAATGCAAAATAAAATTACCACACATTTTTGTTTTAAAGTTTTGCGGTCTACATCATTTTAGATTACAAGCCCTAGATTAAAATGTTAACACAGAAATAAATATTAACTTAGCAAAAACAATTGTCTTTTAAATCATATCCCTACTTTTGGTTGGAACACTTGCTCTGAATGCTCTCAAACCTTGCTCTTTATCCAGCCTTGACATTAATATAAGTAGATAATTTTATCACAATAAATTGCTCATCTAGCAATTGCTTGTGTGTGCAAATGCTCTGGCTACACTTATATTAGGTTATGAAAATGATTCATGTATAATTACTACCGTATATAGCCCAGAGGCAAAACAATCTGGATGTGTTAAAAAGAATCATTTTACCACTTCACACCTATGCCATATTGTCTAGAAGTTCTCCTTATACCGTTTATTCTCTCACAATTTACATTCCCAGTAAACTTATTTCTACACTCGCTCTGGCCTTGCTTTTTTTAGTGTGATGAAACAAGATATTTATTTTTCACGTCAAAGAGAAAAAGCAAACCCAAACCAAACTTCAAGCCTCTCACTTTAGCATTAATCCAACCAAGGGAAGGCATTGTGTTCAGGTTAGAACATCACTGAGTCTCCAGAAACAACTTTAGTACCTCCTACTTGCTCGGCTTCCTCCAGCCATTTGGATAATATTGCTTTTAGTTTGCATGCATTTTTGAAGCTGAGCTGCAGGTTTTCAAATCGGCAGATAGTCGTTTGACTGAATTCAGAGCCATGCACAGCTGCCAGGGCTTCCCCAACATTTGTTTGGGTGTATCCTGTGAAAAAACAACAAAGGCCATTAACTTGTTTTTCAAGAAGCATTCATTTTGGTCCATTATTGTACAATTTTGTGTATCTTTGTCAATTACCACTTTTAACCATATATTTGTTGGCAACTTAGAATAACAGTAAGGTTCAGTGTAGAATTGTTCAGTATTTCAAAAAAAAATTCCTTCTAGTTAATAAATTACTTTTTTAGAAGTCAAAAGAATTCAGGTAGGAACATCTGCCATTCATAATATTTAGCCAGATTGGTTAGATGTGTCATAAACACTTTAGAAGACATTTAAAAATTCTCTCTTAATCATTTTTATTAAACATCTGATGATATATACTCAAAATCTATAGTATATTAAATATAATGCATAAAATACATGGTGGTATATCATAAATATTTTTATCTCAACTTTAAGAGTGAAAGATTCAACATGTTGAAGATAAAACTAAGAATTGTGTTTACTTTCCCTAAAACTAAGAATTGTGTTTACTTTCCCTAAAAACATGTTTATTATGAGACTTTGATCACACAATATTTTATGTATACCTCCAAGCATATTTATGATATCATTCAGTAATACTTCTATCTCCAGGCAAAAAAGTTCTCATAGATTGTCTCAAACATTTTTAGAATACAAGTTGATATAAGCCATCAATATAGAATTTGAAACATTCACAGCAATATAAGTAGCAAATTGAAAATGAATGTTATAAAGATGCCTACTGCGTGTTTATGACAAATAGTTACTACATATTAATTCAGGGCCTAAGGCTATATACCTGTATGCACAAAATGATTACATATGATGCCCATCAATAAATATCATTAAAAATTACCAGTGGCTCATTTCACAAATGCAAAAGTTTGCACCATCATTTCAATCCATTAAAAAATACATTTCATGCATTAAAATCAAGGTTAATTATTATGGTTATTTACATTAAAAACACTTTTCAATAGAAAGTAAGCAAAGGCTGAGAACAGACAGTTCACAGAAAAGGAATTACACATGACTGTCAAACACATGAAAGAACATCTTTCACTCTTCACTCATAAGAAGAGAAATTTAAAATGAAACTACCATGAGGCACCACTTTGACCTATCTGATTTGCAAAGATCCAAAAGATTTAAGCATCTTTTTCCTTCAACAACTATTTTTTTATTCTATGCACCAGTCACTGTTCTAAGTGCTGAGGATATGCCCCTAAGGAGAAAACAAAAAAGAAATAAATAAACAAAAAACAAAGTACAAAAAACTCCTGCTTTCATGGAGCTCATATTCTGAAGGGTGGCAAAAGAGACACCTATGGTGGTAGTAAAATTTGGTATAACTTCCACAGAGACCAATTTGACATCTATCGAGATTCCAAACACACATACTCTTTGATCGGGCAATTTTGCTTTTAACACTTTCCCTTCACATGTATTTATATAGGTGCAAAATGACATTTATGAAGTTAATTATTGTGGTATTGTTTTCACTAGCATAAGATTAAAGGCCATACAAATTACATCAGCAGGAAACTGGTAGTATATTCATAAAATGGAAATTGGCAGATGCATTACAGAAAGCTCTCTAAAAAACTAATATTGAAAGCTCTCCAAAACAAATAGTTAAATGAAAAATATCTGTATGAAAAAATATATGTATCTGCTTGTATGTATATGCATAAAATACCTCTGGAAGGCCACACAACACTGATAAACAGGAAAAACAAGCAGAAGGGATATATTTCACTTATACCTTTTTAGCCTTTGAATCATACAAAGGTATCTCTTCAAATAAAATATAGGTAAAAAAGGCACTTCAAAACTTATCTCTGAAAAAGAGTACCATTAATTTAGAAATCTATGTATTTTGGCTACTAAGAATTTACAGGGAAATGAAGGTTTTTGTGGGTGTGTCATCATTCAATAACTTACATCCACAGTAGATATGTAGAATGAGAACTGTCTTGGACTTTTGAGCAGAGTGTAAGAGACTGAACAGTAACAGAGTAAGAATTTGCAGAGCAGGTTGTGTGCCCCACTGCTCATAACAAGCACATACCTAGCTTAATTCTTCTCACTTTAAATTCATTGGCAAACTTTTCAAGTTCTCGGATTTCCGGAGAATCCATGTCTATTGGTTCTTCAGCCAACTTGCTTTTCCGCCTGAGCTCCTGCTTGAAATCAGCGGCTGTGAGGTCCTCTGCCAGGAGAGGCTGGTGCATGGGAGGAAAGCCATGACTCAAGGTGTGGTCGGGAAACTTATAAAGACAAGGGGCTAAGCTCCCTGTAACAGCAAGAAAAGGAAAGGACCGTTTGTAATTATCCCCCATTTCTATACATGCAAGAGTTTGGCCCATAAGATTATTGTGACAGCCAGTCTCAATTCTGAAAGGTTACCTGACATTCAGTCTTCTGAAATAGAAGAGTAACTTAGTATAAATGCGATGATTTATTTTCCACCTTCCTGGGAGCAGCAAAAACAAAGATACTGCAAAGCCAAAGGGAAGAAGCAGGGACTTGCAAATAATTAAAATAGAAATAAGCAAATTTCACAGAAGTATGAGTTTTCCATCATTTTTTTCTCTTAAAAGACATCTATTCCTGGGAATCTGAGGTTCAACTTTAACCAGAATGTACATATTCATCTCTGTTTTCTTAATTCATTGAACAAATAATCTGTGATGTTTGTTATAATCAGGCACGTGGTTAAAGGCTATTCTGGGAAGTTTTTGTAGGATTGAAAAATTGATTTTACATTATTAAGAAACCCCACTGTTTTTTCAGTAAATGCTTAATTTAGTAAAGGCAGGTAAAAATAAAATTATGAGAACACAAAATGCATTAATATGTTTAAATAGATTCGACGTTAACAAGCGACAGACATTAACAAAAAGTAATTTTTAAAGTTCTATTAAAAATTCAGCAACAAGAGTTCTTGAAAAGTATAAAATATAATGGAATCACTTCTTGACAATTATTTAGGAAGCAAAAATAAGTGGCAAGGAAAGGTGCAGTTCTAGATATGATAGGTAATCACCCATAAATGATGAAGCATTGAATCCACTTAGTGAGTTAAATAAATCACAAAAAACTAAAAGATTTAATTTTTTAATTGCTTCTAGATTTCATTCTTCATTTGGAAAGAAGAGTCTGCCTCAGTTGTGGAGCGTGGGTGAGAGGATGGTATAAGCCAAACTCCCACACATTTTATTTTTGTTTTCTTCATCAGTACTTTACATTTTTATTCATAGAGATTTAACTTTAATTTATATTAAATGACACCTGTATAACCAAGACATTTTGATGTAAATAAAATATGCAATAATTAATAATCTTTCTTATGAGTACAAGTATTTAAACTAAAAATAAATGACTACAGAATACCTGCAGTAATCATTCTTAGAAACTTACTGAAAAAATACATCGAGTTTATGCTACCTATAATTTCTCTATAAATACATTCACAAGTCAGACATGAGTAATAGTGTATTTTGCCAGGATATATAAAGCTTACATTAATATATCAACACATAATGAGCAAAGAATAGTGTAAGTCAGCAAATTGTTGGCTTATATTATTTACATGAGAATATGTAATTATATAGTGTACTCCAGTAGACTATATTACTTTTCTGAAGCAAGATACACACGCAATTGAGAAATTAAACAAAATAGCATAAAATAAATTTAGCCATTTCACAGATGTAAAAAATATACAAAAGAAACTATTCCTGTCTAGAGCAATTAATGTTACTTCTAAAAATCAAAATTATCCAGTTTTATTCTTTTTTTAATATCAATTTTTAATTTATTACATAACTCAATTTGTTTATTACCTTTGGGGTTCATTTTTAGCTTTCTATTAGTTTTAGATTTCTGCTAGTTGAACTAAAAGAAAGGACTAATATATAAAAAAGAAAACTGATCACTTTTATTTTCACATTTACTTAATATTTATCTCAAGACTTTTCTTTTGCTTTGCTTTCACAGTTGAATCTTACACATATGAAAAAATCTTCACTTCTTTCGTCATTCAGAAAGAGCAATGCCACTTAATACACTTAATGATGAAATACTCTGAGAAACAGTAAAAACAGACAAATCAGGCTGCTGTTTTATTTTGCATATTTAATGTATTTTAAGGCACTTTGGATAACTCATGTAATCTGTGTCAAATTATTTTTATTTCACATAAGTAATTTGTTGCATATCGTTTACATGAGATGCAGAAAGGTCTGAATTTGTTAGCAATCTTGATCACTCTTTTCAATTTTTCTTGCTGATAATAGTTGCACTGCTACAAATCTCCATGCTGTGTTCATTTTACATTTGTCATCTTCTTATCCTTATATAAACAAATGAAGTAGAAAAGATATGTATTTTTTACCCACAATTTAAAATTTGAATGAAAACAAGTTAAATAACTCTCCTTGGGTGCTATGATGAATTCACTACACAGTTGAAACTAGAAGTGAATTCCAATGAACATTGCAGTAAACCACATCAAAATAATCAGTCCATTTTTCAGGTAGTCTGTACTCAGGGAAATCAAATGACTTTAAGGATTTCTGCATCTTAAACATATTTGGCTACATTAAACAAACGCTTTCAGACAAAAGTATTATATTTATTTAATACAATATTGGAAGTGAGCCATCTCTATTTCTGGAAAATTTTAAAGCTAGTTTATACATTATAAATACTCTGGATAAATGCACATTTAACAAATAAATTTGAACATGAGTCCATAAGAAGTACACAGAAAATACCATGTTCAAAAGTCTTACTTTTTGAACATGGTATTTTCTGTGTACTTGGATGCCATCATAAATATGGCATCCAGAGGAAAAAGGAAAGCACAATGTGTGACATGTTTTTATTTTCCGTTAATTGAAAGTATCCACAATTATCTACAAGGACACGGTTTTCCTGGAGCTAACCTTAAACAGAAATTCATGACAGTCACAAGCACAGCCAAACAACGTGTGGTTTCTATCATATGATCCTATATTTGGCGGAAAATGGGGAGTGATTGGTATGGTATACATGACAAGATATTTTAAATTTTTTTCTAAAGCCTGGATTATTGAAAAGTCAGATTGGGGAGGAGGAGAATAAGATACATTGAGTCGTGTGCCGCAGAAGTTTCATGAACAATTTCCAAAACATTGCTAAAGCAAAATTGTCTATAAGCCTAGAACAAGTGCACACCTAAATAGCTTGGAAGTGTTTGTACATTCTTTACAGCCCAAGATGTATTTTCACACTGCAGATTAATCCACCACAGCCTTTCTGAACTGCTCTGCATGTACTTCTGGGTGGCGGAGGAGGGAGAGGAACAGAGGTGAGTCTTTTAAAGCAGGTGATGGGGAGGCCATGGTCTTGCCTTGCGGGGACCTGACTCAAGGTTCTGTGATACAGGGCAGGGGGCTCTTCTGCATCACGTGGCTCAGCCAGATGCTAACTGACAACATCTCTGAGGTTATGAAGCTTTAAAAGAACAAACAGGGGAAGCAGAGGGACACAGTAAAATACACCCACCTTGCTGTAGACTGGAACAGCAAAGTACATTTGAATATCTCCATTTCTGTTTGTTTTTTTTTTGTCCTCATGCATGACAACGTGAAACAAATCATAAATTTGAATTGTGATTTTTTTTCTCTTTTGTGCATTTGTACATCCTATTCATGTACAACAGGGTCCTTTTCCTGGTTTTATAAATTAGGTTGATTTGGAGCATAGCCATGCCTGTTTGTTTAAATATTGCCTGTGGCTGCTTTACAATCACCGAGTTGTGTAGTTGAGACAGAGGATACAAAATTTAGGGAAAATACATAGAGTCAGTGCTACTGAAAGTCCTTTCATGATCCAGAGGCAAAAGATGGTCAGAATTACTCCTTCCCTTATTGTCAACACAACCAGAATAAGTTAGGGAAAAGTAAGACTAAATAAAAGAAAAAATGAAACAGAAAAAAAAAAAAAAAAAAAAAAAAAAAAAAAAAAGACAACTTAAGAATGAAGAGATGGGCTCCGAAGTAGACTATCTCTCTATGTCACTGTCAAACAGATTTCTGTTACCCTTTGCCTTAGCCCAGGTGTAAAGGGCACTTGCGGCCATACTAGTCTTTTCTCTTATTATCCACTTCTCATAAGAAAAGAACATCCATCTTCTTGATGAATTCTCCAATATCAGCTATTTTGCTTTCCTGATAAAATTAATTTTTAAGCAAGGACTCTTACAGCACATCTTGGGTGGCCATTATGTCATAACCTTGCTGGATTTAGCAATCATTGCCATGTAGCTGATTTGCCCAGTTTCCACAGGACGGTGGACAAAGTACGCAGCTCATTAAGCTTGTTTTCTAACTTGGACCCAGCTTTAGAAACTGGAGAAGAGACACAATGTCAGATACCCAGGAATTAGAGTTTTGAAGGGTTTTTGTTGTTATTTTGCTTTATTTTGTGTTTTTCCAGAAGAGATTTTTGAATACCATTTATAATTCCCTGTTTCCTATTATCTATACTGTAGGCTGTTGAATTATCTAAGTTCTCAGGAGAAAAGAGACAGAAGAAGAAATGTAACTGGGAATGTATCTGAAGAGAAGATCAAGGAGAAAGCCAGGTTGAGTTGGTACAAAGTTGCCACAACTCAACTCTGATAGACCTCTGGTACCCACTGCAACTTGGATATGAAGAGACTGACACTTGGAGATGCTGACTTGAACAAGGTTTGTAATTAGTTCCTGGTGTGGCTAATTCATTTCATCCAATCAGTCATTCTCTTTGGTATGCCCACACCTGGTCTATGAAGCACAGTGAATTCATCTGATGATTAAAGTCCTTCCTACCAACCTTAACAAAATATTAGCTATAGCTCTTGTCTTCCGATGGGTTATTAATTTAATGAAATGCTCAAAATAAATGTAAGCATCAGAGTATAGTGACAAAATAGCCGTATTCAAATAAAGCAATTTCACACCATTTGAAATATGGTTCTTTCTGCAGCTTCGCTTTTATGTGGAGTATGTGACAATGCATCTGTCTTTGTTGTTGATGATTAAACGCTTCTGTGGATTGTGTGGAAGCAGCTGATTTGATGAACGCCTTGAGACTTCTCAGAAAATTCAAATGACATTGCCAGGTTTCTCTTGTGTTTTTTATACCTTTTCTGAATTCCTGAATACTTCTGAATTCTTGTGTTTTACAACTCAATTTGTGTAGCTTCTCTGGGGATGACGGCAGAAAGGTTCAGATTCTCTGAGATCTAATCGGCCATGATGCAAAGGCTAATTACCAAATATATGTCAAAATAGTGACATTGTAACAAATTATAAAGCACACCATATTTTAATGATATCCCTCTCAAAAAATATTCAAATATAATCTCTATGCTTGCTATGGTGAATATTTCTTTCAGTGACAAAATATATTTAACTTTGGTTTAAGACTACAATACCTCCAAATCTTAGGGCAAGTTTTCTCGTGATTATCACCAACCCAGGCTTTGAATCATTTTAAAGGGCTTTTCCAGGGGCCTCTCCTTTTTAACTTTTAATGAGGAAGAGAGTTTGCTGAGCCTGCCAGGGAAACTTGTACCAGCACAATCTGAGCTGCCTGTGAACTCTCAGTGTGAACCTGGGCCTGTTCTCTCCAATCCTGGAAATTGGAAGGGTGTTAGATTTCTCAGGCCAGCTGTGAACTCCACAGACACTGGCCTAGATCTGGTGAGAGGGAGGTGGTAGCAAAATCCGTCTAAAAGTATTTGGTCTGTGGCTGGTTTTATCTTTGTGCCAACCTCAATCCATTCCTGCCACTTGCTGGGTATAGAGGGAGCCTATAGTTGTACCGGCGTTCCTGGAACTTACTGTGAAGGAAGAGCAAGGCCTTTTTCCTCCAAGAAAGGGCAGCATGTGGCCATGAGCTTGTTATTTCCAGTCTCCATAATCAAAATGTGGTGGAGGCCACAGAAAGAATTCTGCCTGCACCTCTAGTGGCTAAATGCATATTATTCTATTTTATAATGAAAATAGTTCATCATCAAGGGCTGTTCTCATTAACCATGAATACTGATTAACTACTATGTATATGAATCATAAATGATCTGTTTTCAAAGAGGAAGAAAAAATATGGCTTTCGTTATTTCTTACTTATTAAAGAGAGACATTAGGATTTACAGGTAACCATTAAGAACATCAGTTTTCATTTTATATAAAGGTGAGGATACTAGTTTATTCAGAATGCTGCCTAATAGAAGGTAAAAGAAGCTAATTTGTTCTGGAATATTTTATTTTAAAGTTTTAATGTTGTATTGAGTCTTAAACTGAGAAATTCTGAGAAATGAAAGGTTGGTGAACTAAATTCTTTGTTCAATTTTATTTCAAATGTATAAGCATAAATCCATATTTGATGTTTTATCACCTACTCTGGATAACAAAACACAAGAAAAGATTTCCCTAATATGTGATTTCTCTATCCAGAGTTTCTCAATATCACACAAGCGTGCACACACACACACACACACACACACACACACACACACACTCACATTCTCCCATAGATCCTTGGTAGTTATTGTTACCCACAGTATTTCTCTCCCTGCTGCAGAAATAAATATAAAAGATTAAGGGATACCCCCAAAAAACTTCTGTGCCCAGCAAAATTGTTTCTATGGCCATATCCTAAAATTAAGTCATGAATTTTGTAATAAGTGGATCTCTTAGGTCATATTTTCTTTTCCTTAAGAAATGTGCTATCAATATCTTCATGCAAGTATCAATAAACAAGTAGTTTATCTTGATCTAGTGATGTTTTACTCATTCAAAGGGAAAAAAGATACGTAACTTCAACTATTTCAATCTCATCTAAGACTCAGAAGCATCTCAGACAGGGCTGCCAAAGACTCAACTATTGCTAAAGCAGCTGCAAATCACTCTTAGCCTTCAATGTCTTATTTATCTTTATGGACCAAATGGCCAGAAGAAATATTGTGGTGAGGAGAATGCTCTAGAAGTTGGTCTATCTGCTTTGGTAGCCACGTAAGATTACTGAGCACTTGAAATATGAAATACTAGTGCAGCTGAGGAACTGAATTTTAAATTTGACCTTATTTTAGTTAATTTACATCTAAATTTAAATAGACACATAAGGCTAGCAGCTACCTTATTATTACTGTAGGCAAGCCCACTAATGGCATAAACAAGTGACAATGAGCAGTTTGGCAGTAGAGAATTAAAATAAAAATCACACAAAGCAAACACAAGAGTTAAGAAGCATAGCAGCTCAGAGCTGGGTAGAATAGGGGCAATCAGGTATAACTATTATGGTCTCTGAAGACATCACAGATCAGAGAACATTTCAATAAGCGGTGGTTTTACCAGCATTTCCAAGGTTAAGAGATCTGAAATTCATGATATACTCTGGTCAAGATTCCCTCAGACCCAGGAAATCCATCCAAGTGTCCCCAAACTCAACCTTATATGTAAGGACAATTTTTCTTACCTGCCATCACTCCATAGGTCGATGACTGGTTTCCATAATGACAGGAAGGAACAGAATAATGAAGTCCTGTTGCTGTGTTTCCCAATGTTGTCACCAAGAAATATGTGCACAAACATTTAGGAGTTTGGATCAAAGACAAAATAGACGGGACTGGTAAGAAAATGTACGAGGATTCAAGACACATTCATTTCATTTCAAAAGTACACGTTTAAGCTATTCTTAAAGTTATATGCCAATAATTTATTCTCATTTGGGGGCGGTTCTCTGATGAGTAGGTTAAAACTAGAGGTTGAAATTTGTCTCAAATAATGAGATCATGAATCATCAAAGTGGACTAGAGCCTTCATTAATTATATCCTGTGCTCTGTGTTGGGGTGATTGACCAGTTTGAAACTTGGATAATCGGAAGTAGCCGAATTCTCGCAGGTTCCACTCAATATAGACATTGCAAAGAACTGACGAGAGGATGCTTTCTTAAAATTCTTGTATAACATAGTATAATACTTGGTCTTTTTCTGGAACAATGAATACAGAAATCAACTCCTGATCAGTCTTTACTTCTGCTTATTCACCTAACAAATTTTTTCTATCAAAGAGGAAATGGCAGAGCCACTAGCCTTTTACTGGATATAATAATAAAAAACCCCACTAAGTTCAGAGGCTTATGAAAAGCCTGTGACAATGTACGATGTATTTAGGCTGGTGTTGAAACCTTGAGGTTGTAGGTTTTCTTCATGCACACAATTAATTCAACAAGTCTAATGATGAAGCGGGTCAAAAAATAAGTTCGTTGATTGTTGAGTAACTTGAGATTTATAAAGGTTGAACCTAGCATATAAACTTAACCTCATTTATAAATAGTTATAGGTTTCATTGAATTAATGTATATGTTGAAAGTATAAATTTGAATTACTAAACTTTTATCAAGCTTTAAAGATGAATAACAATGGACTACTGACAATAAAATCACTAGCCAACGTTTTCTTATGTATTTTATTTTCGCTTTTTTTTCATGATATCCTGAATGTAGTGGTGGATTTTCATAAATAAAGTTTTATCTTCTTGAATAATATGAGATATTATAAAGAATAGATTTAGAATCCTTTGAAAATATATGGTCTACCGATTAAAGACAAAATTTCTTCAGAACGTAAAACATATTTTCTCTAACTATAACTCAATTTTTAATATTTTAAAATATCTGCATAAATTTTCATTTTACAACTGACACAGAGAGAGAACTGAAATCATTTTACTTTATAATGATTACTATGCATTCCAAAATTAAACAAATAAACATGAAACGCATTCAATATCTAAGTGCTCTTCTCATTATAATCACTATTTTTAATTCCTTACTTAGAAAATTAGATGTATATGATTACAATTTGATGGAAAAATTATAAAAATCAATGTTATTGTTATTTAAAACACGTTAGGTCACTTTTATTGATTATGAATGTTTTTACTTCCAAGGTTTAAATACCTTTTGTCTTTCTGATGTGGGGAAGTAGTGTAAAAGGGTAGGCTAACTTACTAAATACACTATTTATTTATTTTTAAATTATTTATTTATACATAATTATTTATAATTATGTATAAATTAGTTATAAATATTTATAACTTAGTTATAAATTATTTATTTATACATTATTTACTTATTTTTAAATAAATAAATAGGGTTTTGACCTAAACTTGCTTAATTTTAACCTCAATTCCAAATTTTACTTTTATTCTAGCCAAATACTATCCACACACAGTAGATTAAGCAAACAATGCATTTTCCTTCTCATCACCAACCTATATAAATGCCTATTATGTAAAATATACAATTAGCTATGTGATGGTTGTTTAAATTTATTTATACCACACCTCTTTGATAAAAATACTTTATTACATTTTCCAAAAAATATGTTTGAGGATATTTTCATTAGTACATTTTAAATTAAATTCTGAGAATGTTTAGTATATAAAAAATCACTACATTAATAATTTTCCCAGAGTCTAAATATATGATCTCTAGATACTTTAAAATTCAGCCGAAGATTAATGCTAAACTTACGTATAAGTTTGAAAGCTGCTTAATTATAACAAAAGATAAGGCTAAAATACTTTAAATCAGCATATAAATGTATCAACTCAAATTTTGATTTTTAAATGTATAAAATTTAGTTCATATTTAGATTGCTTTTAAAACAAGTGGAAAGTGCTGTTAAACAGAAGACATTTACTCAACTCAAGACTTTATAAATCAACTTCAAAACACTTTGTTACTGCATAAAACATGGACACATTAAAAAAATATACTTATTTGCTTGGTTGTGTTTGAGACAATATATTTGAATTCTCAAGTTTAATTTTCATTTAAGAAAGTTATATAAGAAAATATAAAAACTTTGAAGTCTCTTCAGAACTCAATTTTGAGAAAATTCAACTCAGTCCATGGGCTCTAAATATTATATTGCCTCTAGATTTGATTTCTGAGTTTTTAATTATGCTAAAAATTAAAGTATGTAAAGTAATACTTTAAATTAAAGTATTTAAGTAATTAAGTATTTAAACACTTAATTCTTTTATTCTTTGAAACCCATTGTTGTTGGTATTTGGAATCATTCAGTTGTGTTTACTGTGAGGTGTATGACTGTTTTTAGACATGGTAGTAAATGTAATCTAAAAACCAAATAAATCTCAGACTCACTGTTTACTTATATAGAAAACAGATCTCTTTTTATAATAAAACCAACAATAATAGAAATTACTACACTTACTAATATTTCTTGAGAATTTTCTTAGGCATTTTGACCTCTTCAATATCCTGAATATTTAACTTAACACCAATGAAAATAAAAGAAGCAATGAGATTCTAAACTAACAAGATTCAAAGCGTCCACCCTGACATGTTAGGCCCAGCCACACGTAGACGGTTATTGGAGTCAGTACCTGTGGACATCACGTTGGTGGCGTGGTTGGAGACTGGTAGGCACTCGGCAGCGCTGTGATGCATTATCAGAGGCAGAGTTGCAGAAGACTCAGAATTCAGAGGTATAAAGGTATCAGCCGAAGTAAAAGGTTGGCAACTCATTCCCACAAAAGAGTAGAAAAATGAGGAGAAGTCTGCTCCTCAAGTCAGAGTTTTATTATATCACCATCTCAAAGGGCCGTTTCAAATCTCACTACCTGCATATATACATCAGGGAGGCTCTGAGCACCAGGAGGACGCGTGCTGGTATTTATACTGCAGGGAAATCCCTTTATACATGTTAATCGTCTTTTCCCAGGGGTATTGCTTCATCAATCTGGACAGTCTTCCTTCTTACCCAAACATAATCCATGCCCAAGTGGGGAAGCTGGTTCTTGGGTACAGACTGAAGGCCAAGGAGAAATATGAAACTTTATTTAACAACTTCAGTAATTCAGACCTTTTAGAAAGGAATCAAGAGCTTAAAAAAAAAAAAGTGCCCTCAAAGAAATAACACTACAATGAATTGAAAAACACTAGGTGTGTTTTTGCTACTAACAAAATGATAAATTTATACATATGAGATATTTTTCTTTTTTTCATAACCTCATTAAATCTGAAAAATAACAAAACGAGAAGTACACGCTACCTAATTTTAAGAAGCAGAATTTTAAAGTTTAAATTGAAAGAAGCATAAAAGACTAAATGTGAGAATGAATATATTGCCAACTAGTGATTCACACTCAATATAATTCTGAAAAACAATTGAATTTTTACTATATCACAAATAGAAAATGATAAAATATTAAATAAAATTCTAGTAATTTGTAGAGAAGATGAACATTAGTGATAGTATCTTTCCCTTGGTTTCAATTTATTCAACAAGAACATACACTTAGTGAGCTCTTACTAGAGGTCAACACTATTCTAGTCACTTTCTACAGTTATGTCAGCAAATGTCACATCTTTGTGAGATCTGTACCATTCTCACTAACCTTGATTGTGCCAGAGCCTCTGATCTTTGCCATTCCACTCCAGAACCTGCACTGGGTGCAAACTTTCCACACAAAATATATTGACATTATAAGACTATGAAAAAAATAATATACTATAAACAATTGATTCAAAGATAATTATCAGTATAATGATTTCACAATGATCATGATTTCTACATATAAATGAATGAATGCAATACTGCCTTTATTATGTATACTAGGGATAATATAGGAACCAGAAGTAACCTGACAGGCAGAGATATTACTGACATAAGCAAGGACTTATGCTCCATTAGATATTTTTGAAATTTTATATTATGGAATATTTACCTTGGAATTGGTTGCTTTGTGCTAAATTTAATGTTGATATTGATGAGAATACACTTTCAAAAACTTGAAATTTGAACGCTTGTCATTAACCAGTAAATATTTTGTAGGAAAAAGATGTTATAAGGTTGCCCAAATCATGAGATATTGCCTGAAAATATTTATTGTAAAAATGACATATTTTCCATTCTGAATTCTCTTTGAAGCTCCATTTGTCTTCTCTAATGAGAGAAGAAGGTTACAGATAATCAAACGTATTTATTTTACTTTTGCAGAATTCTTGTAATTTTCAGACTTCACCTATACAAAAAGTATTTTTTTGATGTGTTTATAAAGAGAATTTTTTTATAAAGAGATTTGCTAAGAAAATTAAAAGTTTATAGGGCATCAATAATTGTAAAAATAAACTAAATGATATTTAGAGAGAATAGTACTTGAAAATTGCCCCTAATAATTTTGCTATAGTTTGAGTCATTGGAATATGTCGGTAAAGTATATGAACCAAATGATAAAGAGGAGCACTGTAAAACTTGCCTGGAAGAGCAACAAAGAACTTCACCAGTATTTGCCATCTAAAATTCTAAAATTGCAATTTTAGACATAATTTCCTTAATAATGGTTTAAAAATTTTTAACTATTTATGCTATGAAGTGGAAACCAGACTGTTACAGTTAAAACTGTGTAAAGCCAGGAAGTAGATGTTCCCATTATAATCTTTACTTAGCACTGTAAATTATTAATTTATCAGATTTTTAAATGAGTTTTTGTACACAGTTTTGCTTTTGCATAGTATTGAACTATATAGCTCTATTACAATTTAGCCATTTATTGTTGGGTGTTTGTATTGCTTTTTGCTTTTCACTTTTATAAATAACAGTGCAATTTTTTGTCCAAAATGGTTTTTTTACACGATGCATTTTTACAATTTATCTATATGATTTTTTGAATATCCCTCCTTATGATGGGTTCTTAGAAGTGGGATTATGAGTTTGTCTTATGATATTTTTAAAGTTCTTGAAAACATTCTTTAATTGCTTTTCGAAGGACTTTTTTTTTTTTTTTTTTTAGAGCAGTTTTAGGTTCACAGCAAAACGGAGCAGAAAGTACTAAGAGTTCCTACATGTACTCTGCTCCCACACATGCACGGTCCACCTCACATCTGCACCAGAGCGATACATTTGTTACAATTAATGAAACTGCAATGGTACATCATTATCATCCAAAGTCCACGGTTTACATTAGAGTTCACTCCTGTGTATTCAACTAGTTTGAACAAATATTTAATGACCTGTATCAACTATTGTAGCATCAAACAGGATAGTTTCACTGCTCTAAAAATCCTCCTTACTCTGCCTATTCATTCTCCCCTTCCTCCTAACCCCTGGCACCATTGATCTTTTGACTGTCTCCATAGTTTTGCCTTTTCCAGAATGCCATGTGGTTGGAATCATACAGTATATAGCTTTTTCACATTGGCTTCTTTCACTTGGTAATATGCATGTAAGTTTCCCCCAGATCTTTTTAGGGTTTGGTAGCTCCTTTCTTTTTAGCTCTGAATAATATTGCATTGTTTGGATGTACCACAGTTCATCCATTCACCTACTGAAGGACATTTTGTTACTTCTAAGTTTTGGCAATTTTGAATAAGGCTGGGGTATACACCTGTGTGCAAGATTTTGTGTGGACATAAATTTTCAGCTTCTTAGGATAAATACCAAAGAGCAAGATTGCTGGATTGTATAGTAAGAATATGTTTAGTTTTGTAAGAAACTGACAAACTGTCTTCCAAAGTGGCTGTACCATTTTGTATTCTCACCAGCAGTGAATGAGAGTTCATGTTGCTCTACATCCTCCTCAGCATTTAGTGTTGTCAGTATTTTGGATTGTGATCATTCTAGTAGGTATGCAGTAGTATTTTATTGTTTTCTTAATTTACTATTCCCTGATGGCATATGATGTTGAGCATCTTTTCATATTTATTTGCCATCTGTATATCTTCTTCAGTAAAGTGTTCAGATCGTTTGTCCATTTTTAAATTGGGTTGCTGTTTGTTCTTATTGTTGAATTTTAAGGGTTCTTTGTATATTTTGGATAACAATCCATTATCAGATATGTCTTTTGCAAATATTTTTTCCCAGTTTGTGGCTTGTCTTCCAAGTTTCTTTTTCAAACAATTTGTTCTATTATGATTTGGTTTCAAATACCAGGAACAAGTTGAGCAAAAAATAATTGTTTATTATTAGGTGATACAGAGGATTCTTGGAACTCACAGAGGTCAGGCCATAGGGAAGGACTGAATAGGAAATGAAAGCCATCTGCCACATCTCTCTGACTCTCCTATCTCCTTTACTCTGTGTCTCTCACTTTTTAACTCTCTACAACACAACCTACGTTGAGTCCATCTATGGCCACTTCACAGATCTCCAGATCACACCTTAAGCTCTTAACCAAAGAGACTATTTTGCCATTTCTCAGTCTACATTTATGAGAGAAACATTCTGATTGGCCATGGCTTTTGTTGTGTTCCAGAAGCACAACGTGGTTCCCTGTGTCCACATTTGTGAATGGATTGGGTTGCATTGGAAGCGTTCAGGCATTTGTAGACAATGAAGGATGGATTGCTACCTGGGAAGACACCCTTAAAATGTGACTGATGCTGTTCTGCAATTTCATAATAGCCTCAGTAGAGTAAAACTTAAACATTTTTGTTGCTTTCTCAATGGTATTAATAAACTAAATTTTAAACACTTAACTCTATTAGTCACTTAAGACAATAGCATTTTATTAATTTAATTTGCATTTTTATTGTTAATATGTTATATTTTCATATTTATATTAGCTATATGTATTTGTTTCGTTAATAAAAGATGTTATGTTTTACCTTTTTACTTAATATTTATTTTTATTATCAATTTGTACGTGTTTTTTAAATATATTAAAACATTACTTTAATTATCATTGTTTACATCATTTCATGATTAAATTTTTTAAAATTTCTTGTTTGTCTTTTAAATTTATATTGGATATTGACATATATAATGTTTTGTCCATGAACTAAATATGTTGATCTTTTCCTTTGTGCATTTCTTAGTGATTTTAAGTTTTAAAATTCTCTTTTGTCTAGAAGTTTTGTTTTCGTTTTTGTTGTTTTTTATTTTGGAGCCTTAAAAAATTCCTCTTAACATTTTAAGCTGATGTATGCATTATGTTTCTAGAGTTGATTTATTTAAAACTTTTTTCTACTGAGATATAATTGATATACAGCACTGTATAAGTTTAAGGTGTACAACATAATGATTTGACTTATATACATAATGAAGTGATTACCACAAAAAGTTTACTTAACATCCATCATCCCATATAGATGCAATATTAAAAAAAAAATGTTTTTCCTTATGATGAGAACTCTTCGGACTTACACTCTTAACAACTTCATATATAACATACAGCAGAGTGAATTATCTTTATCATGTTGTACATTTCATCCCTAGTATTTACTTTTCTTATAACTGGAAGTTTGTACCTTTTGACTACCTTCAACCAATTTCTCTTTCCCCTAACCCCCACCTGTAGTAGCCACAAATTTGATCTCTTTTTCTATGAGTTTTATTTGTTTTTGAAGTATAACTGACCTACAACACTATGTTAATTTCTGGTATAGAACATAGTGATTTGATATTTCTATACATTTCAAAATGATCACATTGATAAGTCTAGTTGTCATCTGTCACCATACAAAGATACTACATAATTATTGACTATATTCCCTATACTATATATTTCACAACTGTGACATTTATTTTGTAACTGAAACTTTGTACTTCTTAATCTCCCTCACCTATTTCTCTCCCTCCACTCACCTCCCCTCTGGCAACCACCTGTTTTTCCTCTGTATTATGACTCTGTTTCTGTTTAGTTATGTTTGTTCATTTGTTTTGTTTTTTAGATTTCACATCTCAATGAAATCAT